ATGCGCGGCGCAGCTTGCACGAGGGCGAGCCGACGCCGCTGCGGCGCGCCGCGGGCGGCGCGGGCGAGGCGGCGGCGCTGGTTCGGCGGGCGGCGGCGCCGTGGTCGCCGGCAAGCCACTCGCTCTTCCCCACGGCGGCTTGCAAGAGGGCGGTCGAGGTGATGCGGCTGGGCTACCTGATCGCCTGGGACGAGGAGCGCTTCGACAGCCGCGAGGGAGCGGCTCCAGAGCTGGCGGACATCTGGCGCGAGTTTGTGCTGCCATGGGTGGTGGTGCGATGACATGATGATTGCTTTGGTCCTGTCTCCTTTGTGCGCGTGGCGGGCGAGGCCAAGGCCCTCGCACTGAGGCGCGCACTGCAATGGTCTCTCCCCGACTCGCCGGATCCTCTCTTTGACACACCTCTGCCCTCCCTCAGGCCGGCCAACCTGCAGCCAGCGGCCGAGGCGGTGGCGGTGGGCAGGCTCATCCTCAAGGCGGCGGAGTGGTCGCCGCAGTCGCACGAGCTCTTCCCAACAGCGGCTCGCAAGCGTGCGGTCGAGGTGGTGCGGCTGGGCTACCTGGTCGCTTGGGACGAGGAGCGCTTCGACACTTCGACAGCCGTGAGGGAGCGGCTCCAGACTGAGCTGGCGGACATCTGGCGCGAGTTTGTGCTGCCATGGGTGGTGGTGCGATGAGCGACGGGCCTGTTTTCTATGTAGCCACCCCCCAGGATCTCGCTCCTCTTCTTTCTCGCTTGGTGTGCTGCACTGCATTTGTTTTTATTCTTCCTTGACCAGTCTCTCTGCTTTTATTATTCTTCCCCGCGTGTGCGTGTGCGTAAATAAATAAAAAGAGACACCTCTACTGTGAGATGGGTAAAAAGGAACAGCAAGAGCAACAGGTCCCCCCCCCCGCCCGTGCGATCTTTGTCGGTGTTTGTGCAGGGTTCTTTGTGGGTGTGGTCTGCGACTAGCCGCCGGGGTCCGTCCTCCCGATGGGGGGGGGACTATCACTAGCCGTCTTCCACATGGTCCCTCGGGTCCCTGCTGCTCCTAATCTCTTCGTACATCCTCCTGCTGATCTCCGCAAAGTCCTGCTCCCTCCCTCGTCTCGGCTCTCGCCCTGCGCGTCTGCTCCGCCTCCACATCGTCTGCCCTGCGTCGTCTGGCGCGTGTGCGCGTACGTGCGCCTACAACATTGGAATCCCGCCGACGACTCAGTCACTCACACATACGCGCCGCGCCAGGCGGGGCGGCCAGCCCAGACGCCAGAGCCACGTGGCTCACATTCGATTGGACATATCGACCTCCCTTCCCCGGGGTCTGGCCTCTCCATAGCGTTTTTTCTTTCTTTCAACCTACCTATCTATCCTGAAGCTACGTCACGTGCGCGCGACAGCACGCCGTCCTTAGTGCGACGCTGTGTAGAGGTGGCGGGAGCTCTGACGCACCGCAAGTCCGTTCAGAGGGTCACCCATGCTGTCGCGTCCGGACGCCTCTAACTGCTGCCGCCGCTCCCACTTTCGAAAGAACTGGTATGGGCTCGCCGTGTAGGGCGTTGCGGGCTCAAAAGGGTCCGAATTGCGGCGAGAAGCGCACAGCGCGCCGAGGTCATATCGCGCGGCGTAGAGTGGCTGGTGCAACCTCAACAGCCGGTGCACCTATTCGCAGCGGGGGCGGTGTCGTGTGGCGTGATTAACCCCTTCCTGGACTGCACGATCTCGGCGATTTCTTGGGCCCGCTCTCAGTCTCGTCTACATTTCGGCATTGAGCGCACCAGCGCCGCCCGGGCTGGCGACAGGTGCGCCGTGGGGAGGGAAGCGTCCACACGCCCATCGTTGAGCGGGTCGGGCTCGTCGCCACTGCCGAAGCTAGCCGGCGTCTCTGGCCGCCACAGCGGCAAGTTGAACGGCTCCGGCAGCTTTTCATCGGCAGTGATGGTGCCGAGCTCCTCGCGTACCTATTCGCAGCGTGGGCTCTTGAGGAGACGCGCCGCGACGTTCACGCGGATCGTATACTTACTACGTATGCGGTCGCGGTATGCCGCATCGATCTCTCCGTGCTCGGCCAGCTCGTTCGCGAGCCAGTCCGAGGCGACGGTCGTCGCCACGGTCCCCTGGGGAACTGTGGCGTACACCTTGCTGGGGCCGCGTCGATACCCGTCGTCCCTCTCCGGGGGCAGCGAGTATTCGACCCCTATTTTGGACCCGGCCTGGCTGCGCGCCTGCGCAGCTGCAGACCGCAGCCCGGCCATCACGTACTGGATGTTCTCGCGCAGCTGCGCGCGCGGGGCCTCCGCGCGCTCGGCCTCCCTCGCGGCGCGCTCGCCAGCCTCCGTCGCCCGGCGCGCCTTCTGCGCCGGGCCTTCTTGGCCTTGCGTGCCGCGGCTCGAGCCGCGGGCTGCTCGCCTGCTCCTTGGTGGGCTCCTTCTTCTTCGGCGCGGTGCGCTCGATGTACGAGCGCTCCGCCGCCTGCACCGACTCGCGGTCGCCCGCGGCCTTCTCGTGCTTCAGGTCGACCTCGATGGTCGCGTAGCCAGGCCTTATCAGCCTGACCTGCGACGCACCTGCGATCCTTCGGCGACCATCACCACGTCCTCCAGTTGCACGCGATCGGAGCGCCATGGAGAACGCGGGCACTTGTGCGCAGAGATGTGCCCAAATGCGCCCGCCGTTTTTTGTCATACCCCCCCTCCGAAACCCGCCGACTTTGACCGGGTCCGGTTCTAGCTCACTCTCATCTCTATACTTTCCCAGATACAAAACGTCAGATCTGTGCCACCCTGGGCTGGACCTAGTCATTGGGGCGCATCATCTCGAGCCTGGTCACGCTGCCTTCCGCGCCCCCTCCCAGTCCCGGATCATCCGGCGCAGCATGTGGTTGGGGGTGAGGTATGGGTGCTCGAGCGCGCCGCCCGTCAGAGGGCTCGTTGACTTGGTCGCGAGCCAGCGCTCGATCGCCGTCCGCTCGTACGACTGCCCATCGGCCGCCATCACCGGGTCGCTCATCACCTCGGTCGTGATTGGGCAGATGAAATCGTCCGGCGGCTCCTCCTCTCCCTCAGGCGGCGCCTCCTCCGCCGGTGACGAATCGCCCTGCCGCTCGGCGACTCGCGCCTGTCCCCCCGCCGCACGCGTCGCCCCGACATCCAGCCTCGCGCTCTCCTCGAGCGCCGCCGCCTCTGCCTCCTCCGCCGCCGCCAGCGCTGCCTCATCCTCGGACAGCCCCTGCGACGGCCCAGCGCCACCCCCGCCACCCTTCCCCTTCTTCTTCTTCTTCTTCCCCTTCTTGCTCTCCTTGGCGCGCCCCGCCTCCTTCTCCGCCTCCTCCTCCGCCAGCAGCGCCTCGGCATGCCGCGCCGCCTCCGCCTCTGCCGCCGCACTCTCCACCGCCCTCGCCGCTGCCTCCGCCGCCGCATGATCTTCGAGGGCGCGCACGCAGCCGGCGCGGCCTTTCTTCTTGGCCATCTGCAGCGCCGTCCTGCCGCTCGCATCGCACAACGCCGCGTCTGCGCCCGCCCGCAGCAGGCGGAGCACGAATGCGGGGTGGCCGTTGGCGCCGGCGATCATCAGCGCGGTGAAGCCGTTGCTGTTCTGCAGGTTGACATCCGCGCCGCGTTGAAGCAGCTCGACCACTCGCTCGTGGCCGCTGACGGCGGCGTGCATCAGCGCAGTGCTGCCGTCGGCGTCCTGCTTGTCGACCTCCGCGCCGTGCTGAAGCAGCAGCTTAACCACCCGCTCGTGGCCTTTGCTGGCGGCGAACATCAGCGCGGTCCAGCCGGCGCTGTCCTGCTGGTCGATCTCCGCGCCGCGCTGAAACAGCAAATCGACCATTCGCTCGTGGCCCTCCTGAGCGGCGAGCATCAGCGCGGTGAAGCCGCTCCTATCGCCTACCACGCAAGTCGCGTTGACCCGCCCGCCGCTGTCCAGCCACGCCAGCAGCGCCGCCTCGTCGCCGTCGAGAGCTGCTGCCAGCGCTAGCATTGCAGCAACGCGCCTCCCTGTGTCTAACGAGCACTTACCCATGTACATACTATTATACTACTAGTACTCGAGTACTGTCCAAGCCTAAAGTCTGGGCAGGTTACTCAGGACACGATCCCGGCGTGAACACGACTAACTGGCGGATCCGCTCCTGACAGTGGCATGCACCGCGCCGCGGCGCGTGCCACTGTCTTTGTTTGAAGTAAAAAGTCGAATCAGAGCGCCGTCGGCGTCGTCCCGAGTTTTCTCCCCTGGACCGCCCGTCCGGCACCGCTCCGGGACGCACGCCGGCGAAGCACCATCAAGCTGCTGTACGGCCCCGGAATCGCCTCCCCTGGCTTAGCTAAAGTGAGAGTTATTGGGAGACGGCTCCCGCGAAAGCACGGCTGGCATCCGTGGCGTGGGGCTCGCCTCCGAAAAGTCGGGCATGGCTCTCCCCGCAACTCTCTTGCTAACACGCGCGCCCCACCGAGACTGTGGTGGGCGCGCTGCGGCCGCACGTCTACCTCCGTCATAGTGCCACGACGTGCGGCCTAGATTTAGCACACGCGCCTCAGCTCGCAAACACTCACCCATTTAATTGTCACTGTCCGTGAGTGCGAGAGAAGTCTAGCGGCAGGCAGCTAGACCATGAGGAGGGCGTCCATAGACACCTCACTAGACCCCACATACGGTCTCGTCCGTGCCTCGAAGGCCGGTGAGATTGCTAGAGGTGGAGCAAGCTGCTCTAGCCTCACATGTCTCTTCCTGTCGTCTAGTGTATGCAAGCAGAGGCGCGTGTGCTAATTCTAGGCCGCACGTCGTGGCACTATGACGGAGGTAGACGTGCGACCGCAGCGCGCCCACCACAGTCTCGGTGGTGCGCGCGTGTTAGCGATAGAGTTGCGGGGAGAGCCATGCCCGACTTTTCGAAGGCGAGCCCCACGCCACGGATGCCAGCCGTGCCTTCGCGGGAGTCGTCTCACGAGCCGCGCCCCGTCGGCACTGTCCCCGAGTAGCCCCGCCTTGGCGGCACACACTCTCGACCAGGACAGTCCGGCCTCCGGGAACGTGTCGCGCGCCGGCGACGATTGCGGCGTGGTCGTTTTGAAGCGAAGATGGCACGACCACCGCCCTGCTTCGCAGACCGGGCAAGGAGGGGGCTGCTCCCGTTCCGCGAGGAACAGGAGGTTTCCCCCCCTCCCCCGGCCTGAGCAGCGGCGGGTGGAAGGCAGCCCCTTGAGTCGAGGGCGGCGCGACCATTGTTCTGCGTCAAAGGTCGAGGCCTGATCAGGACAGATGTTCGCGCCGCCCCGCTCCGTCCGCGCCGCCCGCCGCCGCGCCGCGCCGCCGCCCGATGATCATTAATTATTAATTAATTAATAACTAACTAATCCACCTCGAGAACCTCGAGAGCTCAGAGTGGCTCGGGTTACACCAATCCTCGCTACCCAACGCGGCCAAAGGATATCCACCTCGAGAGAGAGAGAGAATTCTTGATACGAAACCACGACGACACACACCAGTCGACTCGCATCGGTTGCCTCCATGAACGGCGGAGCTATTCTCGCGTCCACACCACACCTGGCTCCAACGTGGACACGCCCATAGCTGGGGACACTACTAGGTCACGCATGGCATCAGAAGTTTTATCTCTGGGCCCCGAAAGGCATCTCTAGCAGCGTCGTTACGCATGCGCCCTCCCCTCCTGGGCGCATACGCCTCACGTCTCGACAGAGCATAAGCCCTTGGCGTGTGACGAGACGACTTCTTCGCCATCGCAGCGAGCAGCAAGCCACTCTCCGGATATATCCACCTCGAGAACCTCGAGAGAGCTCAGAAGAAAACAAATCGCGCAGCGCGCCTTCGGCTGGCGTCCTGAACCGCCGCTCCTCTCCGGGTCAGCGCAGTCGTTGCTCTGCCAACAAGAACGAGTGGATGGCGGCCACCGAGCTGCACGCGCCTCCCTGGGCGAGCCAGGCGGCAGCGGCGCGCCAGCTCCGCCTCGAGCCACTGCTCATCCACACCGACCTCGACGCGCTCGGCGTCGCCGCGCTGCCGCTGCCCGCCGGAGTGGCGGCGATGCACCAGCTCTGCCTGACGGGGCCGTTCTTGCTGCAAGTGGTGCGTGGCGAGTAGCAGACCTTAGCTGGCGGTAGCGATGTCGCCGCCGGTAAGCGGTCGCCGGGTGAGCCGGTCGCTGCCACCCCGCCTCCACCCACCTCCACCCGCCTCCACCGCCGCGGCGCAGGTGGAGGTGAGCGACATCACACTGGTCGAGGAGCAGCGGAACCGGCCAGACAAGCACCCCGACGGACCTCCCGACCCCCACCGCCTCGGTGTCTGCATGCAGAGAGACGCAGTCGAGATCTGGGGAGCTATGGGGAGAGAGGCGGGAGATCCCCACCGGCTCGGTGTCTGCATGCAGAGAGGCGGGAGTCCGCCAGCCAGGCCAGTCGTGCACACGCCCTAGCAGAGAGACGCGAGTCCGCCAGCCAGGCCAGTGGTGCACACGTCGCAGCAAGGCCGACGCGGCTCACACGCACACTCGCGGAGCACACGGAGGCAAGGTTCGCGAGGCGTGAGGTGCGAGCTCAGGAAATCTCAGGAGAGGGGGTGGGCAGTCGCATTGAATGCAGAGTCTGCAGAGAGGCCGCAGCTAAAGCCGCAGCTAATGCGGGCCGAGGTGGGGAGATACGGGGAGATGTGGGGAGATACGGGGAGATGTGGGGAGGTATGGGAGAGGCGCCCGTAGGCCATCAGCGCGAGATGTGGGGAGATATGGGGAGATACGGGGAGATGTGGGGAGATACGGGGAGATGTGGGGAGGGATGGGAGAGGCGCCCGTAGGCCGGATGCTGAGGCTGCTGCTGTCGGACGGCGGCCAGCGCGTGGTGGCGCTCGAGTACAGCCGGCTCCGCGACCTCTCCACGCTCACCCCAATCGGCGACTCATTAATTAATATTATATTAATTGACTAATTAGCCGGCTCCGCGACCTCTCCACGCTCACCCCAATCGGCGACTCATTAATTAATATTATATTAATTGACTAATTAGCCGGCTCCGCGACCTCTCCACGCTCACCCCAATCGGCGACTCATTAATTAATATTATATTAATTGACTAATTAGCCGGCTCCGCGACCTCTCCACGCTCACCCCAATCGGCGCACCCCTGCCCCCCCCGCTGACTCTTGCACTTGTGACTGTGCGGGGATGCCTTTCCCTGAGACCGCACACACACCGCCTCGCGTGCCCCTCTCTCCCCCGCTGACTATTGCACTTGTGACTGTGCGGGGATGCCTTTCCCTGAGACCGCACACACACCGCCTCGCGTGCCCCTCTCTCCCCCGCTGACTCTTGCACTTGTGACTGTGCGGGGATGCCTTTCCCTGAGACCGCACACACACCGCCTCGCGTGCCCCTCTCTCCCCCGCTGACTCTTGCACTTGTGACTGTGCGGGGATGCCTTTCCCTGAGACCGCACACACACCGCCTCGCGTGCCCCTCTCTCCCCCGCTGACTCTTGCACTTGTGACTGTGCGGGGATGCCTTTCCCTGAGACCGCACACACACCGCCTCGCGTGCCCCTCTCTCCCCCGCTGACTATTGCACTTGTGACTGTGCGGGGATGCCTTTCCCTGAGACCGCACACACACCGCCTCGCGTGCCCCTCTCTCCCCCGCTGACTATTGCACTTGTGACTGTGCGGGGATGCCTCTCCCTGAGACCGCACACACACCGCCTCGCGTGCCCCTCTCTCCCCCGCTGACTATTGCACTTGTGACTGTGCGGGGATGCCTTTCCCTGAGACCGCACACACACCGCCTCGCGTGCCCCTCTCTCCCCCGCTGACTATTGCACTTGTGACTGTGCGGGGATGCCTTTCCCTGAGACCGCACACACACCGCCTCGCGTGCCCCTCTCTCCCCCGCTGACTCTTGCACTTGTGACTGTGCGGGGATGCCTTTCCCTGAGACCGCACACACACCGCCTCGCGTGCCCCTCTCTCCCCCGCTGACTATTGCACTTGTGACTGTGCGGGGATGCCTTTCCCTGAGACCGCACACACACCGCCTCGCGTGCCCCTCTCTCCCCCGCTGACTCTTGCACTTGTGACTGTGCGGGGATGCCTTTCCCTGAGACCGCACACACACCGCCTCGCGTGCCCCTCTCTCCCCCGCTGACTCTTGCACTTGTGACTGTGCGGGGATGCCTTTCCCTGAGACCGCACACACACCGCCTCGCGTGTGTGATGCCCCCGCTCTGTGTGTGTGTGTGTGTGCCCCGCACGCACCGCGCTGTGAACCGCGTCTGTTCATCCCCCCCCCCCCCCTCCCCGCCTCTCTCCCGCCTTGTGAAACAGGCACCAAGCTCGTCGTCGCTAACGTGACCGTCCGGAGAGGCATCCTCCTCCTCACCCCCGCCTGCGCAACCCTCGCCGGCGGAAGTGCCGCTGTGGGCGCACCTGGAGGAGCGGCTCCGAGAGGTCTAGCCGAGAGGCAGCCGAGAGATTGGCCGAGATACAGCCGAGAGGCAGCCGAGAGGCAGCCGAGGGGCAGCCGAGAGGCAGCCGAGGGACAGCCGAGAGGCAGCCGAGAGGCAGCCGAGAGGTAGCCGAGAGGCAGCCGAGAGGTTGCCGAGAGATTGCCGGCCATAAGCGTCCCTGACGGCACGTCGCTGCCGGTGCCAGAGTCGGCTCCGCCAGCACACTTACCTCGTCACGGGAGATATGGGGAGATACGGGGAGATGTGAGATCTCGTAGAGCCAGCACCGTACCCCCTTCACAGCCGACACCCCAAACCCTCCCCATTAGGTGCCGCACCACCGATGCCCGCACCACCGCCGCCCGCCCGCTCGTTCGCCGCGCCCGCCGCCGGTCGCGCCGCCGCCTCCACCGCCGCCGCCACCACCTCCGCCGCCTCCGCCTCCGCCTCCGCCTCCGCCTCCGCCTCCGCCTCCGCCTCCGCCGTCGCACCCGCGGCCGCTCGCGCCAGCGGCGGAGGAGGCGGCAGAAGCGGCGGCGGTGGCGGCGGAGGCGGAGGCGGAGGAGGAGGCGGAGGCGGAGGCGGAGGAGGAGGAGGCGGAGGCAGAGGAGGCGGAGGCGGCGTTGATCCGGACGCTCATCTCTTCGGAGAGGAGCAGGAGAGACCACGCAGGCAGCAGGCGCAGCAGCAGCAAGCGCAGCAGATGCAGCAGCGGCAGCAGCACCAGCAGCAGCAGCAGCAGCAGCAGCAGCAGCAGCACCAGCAGCACCAGCAGCACCAGCAGCACCAGCAGCACCAGCAGCACCAGCAGCACCAGCAGCAGCAGGCGCAGCAGCAGCAGGCGCAGCGGCAGCACCAGCCGCTCAAGTCTCCCCAGCGGCCGCTGCAGCCGCTGCAGCCGCTGCAGCCTCAGGCGCGCTGCAGTCTGTGACATGAGATCGCCCGAGATCGCCCGAGATCGCCCGAGATCGCCCGAGATCGCCCGAGATCGCCCGAGATCGCCCGAGATTGCCCGAGATCGCCCGAGATCGCCCGAGATTGCTCGGGGTCGGGTGCGGCCACACGTCTATTCCTCCACCCGCCCTACCTGGACTATGAGCTGAGTGATGGCTGAGTGGGCCAAGGAACCGATCAGGTGCGACCACCGCCTCAGTTTGTCTACCCCGCCGCCCTACCACGCCGCGGCACGGGCGACGCGCCGCAGGCGCTGATTGCCGAGATCGGCGGAGATTATATCCCCCCCTCTCGCCCCCCCCCTCTATCCCTGCCCTCTCCCTCCTTTCCCTCGCCCTTCCTGCCCCCCCCCTCTCCCCCCCCCCCCCTCTACCCCCCCCCCT